CCCCTCTTCCTCTTCCTTGAAGACTGCCACAGAGCAGGGCAGAGCTATCTGTCCCCCTGCCCCTCCTGCAGGTGGATGGGTGGGTGGGTGAGAGGCAGGTTCCAGCCTCCCTACGCGGACCACTTCCTTAGAACACATTTATGACCAGAAAAGGCAGCAGCTGAGAGCGAGGAAACTATAGGCCCGTCTAGGTCTTTCTGCAAACGACATCTCTGCACCAGACTCCCACTAACCAAAGTCTGTCTCAGCCTCAGATGAGATGGTGGTTTCTTTGATAAGTAAACCTTTGACTGGTGAGCTCAGAACCCATGTCTCCAAGTCACAAGATGAGGACTGGTTGCCCTCAGCTCATTCTGAAACCTGAGGCCTCGTTACCCAAGGGCCTCCAGCTGTTTGAGGAACAAAAGATCCACAGCTGCCTGGGCTGGGCTGGGCTGGGCTTGGCTGAGCAGGGAGAAGGAGCACGTCTGACACAACTCTCGCTGAGGGGCCTGAGCTAGTAACCACAGGGCAGGGCGCTCACTTGCAGTCTCTGAGGACACTTTGCATACCAGGCCTCGGGCCCACTAATCCCTTAGGATCAGAGAGGTGAAGACTAGTCAGTACAAGGTCACATGAGGAGGCCCAGTGGACAGACAGCAGGGAGGGGTGGAAAGGGGGAAAGGGGGGAAAGCCAGTCCTAATATTTCACTTGCAAATCCTGGCAGGGCTGTCAGATGAGCGTAGGAAACTTGCTGTCCCTGAGAGTGACATTATGCAAATGAGTACATTTGCGTGCCTGTCTTGTCCCTAAAAATGACTTACTATGCGCAGGTTCCACTGGCCCAGGGCCCCACCTGGAATCCTGCAGGCCTCAGGCCAAGAGACTGCTGACCAAAGGCTTTGGGTAGTGACTTAGCTTGGGAGCAATAGTTCTTCCCTTCCTGACCTTGTTAATTCCAAGGTAGTGCCACGTTGGAGATGGTGGTGTGTGGAAAATAAAAAGAATAGATGTGTGAGCACATTAATACTAGTGTTTGTCCCAGAGAGGCTCCAAGGGGCCTTACAGCTGCTTGCTCGTGGTGTAGGGACAGAGCACAGGGTGAGGAAGGCTGCAAAGAGTGAGGGCTCACAGTGGCAGACACAAGAGCAAGGGAGCCCTGACCACCTCTCACCCTGCTCTTCTAGAAGGGCCCCAACATCACCTGAAGCCCTTCTTTGTTGATAATGATTCCTAAAATGCCTAAGTACAAATAATATAAGTCTAAGGTGTTGCTTTGTGAGGCTTCCTCAAAATTAATGGACTGAAAAACTGACGGGGAAATACCTGCCAGACTAAATTCCCAAAGTTTGGTTTGGGAACCAACACTGCGAGGGGAACCCAGGATGAAGGGATGGAAATCGCTGGGCGCCCCACTGGGGTAACAGGTTTCTGACTGAAAGGTCAGGTGGGAGGGCAGTGCACCCGCAGTTCCAACCAGAAGACAGAGGGAGGCTCTGGCTCCATGGAGAGACCGGCGCGGCAACCCAACGGCACTGCCCGTGCCCACCGCAGACGGAGCCTGGATGCGGCTGCAGGGACAGCAAGGGTCCCCGACAGTAGCCCGCCTGCCCCAGCACAGCTTCTCCCGCCCACTCACCTGGACACGGAGCTCTGTGGCAGCAGGACCCACTCACCCATGTCCCCCATTCCAGCTAGACTGACAGAGAAGGTCCCGGCGCCCAGGGGATCCCCTGCTCTGGGGTGAGGCTGTCTTCTCACCCACCCACTGCAACAGTGGCCTAAAGAATGGCCTGAGCTTGCACACCGATGCACTGCACTTCCTCTCCGCTCCATGTCTCAGCAAGGCCTGGCTCAGTCCTCAGGAGCCTGGGCCAGGCAGGGGGCAGGCGTGAGGCTCACCCCCACCCAGGGAGCAAGCCGCCAGGGCCCAAGCTCGGGTGCTGTCTGGAATGGGGACACACCTCTCTCTGCTAGAGCAGCCTCAGGTGTCCGGGCGCACGGCAGAAAGGGAAGAAAGGGAGGCTGAGCACCAAGGGCAGAGCCTGGTCTCACCGCCGCTGCTCCCTAAGCACAGGTGTAGAAGGTCCGATGTCCAGTGGCGCAGGGCCAGGCAGCCTCTCCACACCGGCCCAAGTGCATTGTGGGAGGTGGACAGGCCATGAAACAGGACCCCAGAGCTGGAGCTGAGTGTCCTTCTGAAGAGCAGCTAGTCCCAAACCCAGCCAGACCCTCGATGGTTCCTGGGGCCCTTAACACAGGCTTCAAGAGGTGCAGGCCTATAATCCTAGCACTCTGGGAGACTGAGGCAGGAGGAGCACAAGCTCCAGCCCAGCCTGGCCAATTTGGTAGCTCGACAGGACCCTGTCAGGCTGGGGACGTGTGCAGCTCAGTGCCAAGGCCCTGGGCTCAACCCCTAGTCCCAAAACAAGCAAATGGAGGGAAGGCCTGAATTCTCCAGGCTGAAGCTGCAGAGGCCACCCCCTCAAAACCTCCTGTCTCCACCCATCACCCCAGGGCTGCCAGGCAGGGTTTGTTTACAGTCTCCTCACAGCCACTTTCCCCGCCTGCCTCAACAACCTCACCCTCCTCCCCTGAATAACTGAATTTTCTTCACACCTAGCTAGAGCTACCCACTCATCATTCACAGCCTTCTGAACTTCCTGTCTCCAACCCAGTCAAAGGAAAACCCCAAATTTACTGTTATTGTTTACCAACCCCACTGCCTGCTCACCCCAGGGCAGGAGCCTCAGCCCGGCCCAGCCCAGCCTATCCCGCTGAGTCTGGGGCTCCTCCCCTGCTCCCTGCCTCTCCGGCATCCACAGCATCCCTGTGCCTTTCACAGGCGAGCTCAAGGGGGCAGCAGGGAATCCAGACTGGGTTCGCCCAGCTGAGTGTGACCCTGGGCGAGTTTCTACTCCTCGGAGCCTGTCTCCTCACAGTCAGCTGCATCTCACTACACAGTGCTCCAGCAGCTCACCAAGCGCGCCTGGCCCCCACCCCATGACAGCCAGTCTGCCTCCAGGAGCAAGTTTCTGTGCCACCTGACTCGAGAGTTCAGCCAGAGATGCTTCTGTTAGGGATGGGTGATCCTAGGGCCAGGCCAGTGTGTAAGACCAGGGAACCCAAGCCATCTGTGCAGGACAGAGTCTCGCTGGCCACAAAGTATCCTCCTGAGCTGGGCCAACCCCAAGAAGAAAGGGAAGGAGGAGGGAAGGAGAGGAGGGAAGTGGGGAAGGAGGCCAGGAGGGAGGGAGGGGGAGGGAAGGGAAGGAAGGGAAAAAAGGAAGACACTGGGGTCAATATCAGGGCACAAGCATGACAGACCTGCCTCTGGCAGAGCAGTGGCCCCTAGAGATGTCCGTCTCTAGTTCCTGGGCTAGAAGACGTCACCTTACAAGGAAAAGGAGTCTGCAGGTGGCATTACGGTTGGGAACCCTGCAGCGAGGGGGTTATCTGGGAGCATCCGGGTGGTCCCCGCCCCATCATGCTGGCCCTTCCCAGCCCTGCACCTTTGAGCTCTGCGAGCTACACAGTGATCCCCTCTAGGTCTCCTCGCCCATGGAAAGGGACAAATGGCCACCTGCCTTGCCTTTCTCCAGGCCAGCGCAACAGGTCACACAAGTGAACTGGTCCAGGCCATGTGCTTTCCCTACCTGTCGGGGAGGAGCTGGCGATGGGGTCCTAGACCAGCTCTTGCTCGAGGCTGTACTGCAATGCAGTTCTCATCAACCTCAGCCTCAGCGCCAACGAAGTTGAGGTCTTGGGAACCCAAGGTCAGGTCTGGCTGAGAGGGTTGGACCTTTGGCCCCTACCGCCCCCTCCTGGAATTCTCCAGTACTCCTCCAACCTGCTCCCCTAATGTCTCCTCCCAGGACCCCAGCGGTGGTTCCCTGGGGCTGACATCATGAGTCAAAAAGCAGCTTGCTTCCAAGTCAGTATTTGGCAAAAAGGAAGCTCCTAGGTTGAACCTGTCACTCTCATTTCTCCTACGCCAGTAGAGCCACGCCCTGCGCATGGAGCCCCTTCTTCACCTGCCAGAGCACCCACTACCTCCTCCAGCACACAAAACCTCTGCCCAGGGGAAGTCAGAGGTCAGGGATGGAGGTCTGAGCCTCAAGAAAGAGAAAGGGAAACTTTGAACTATTAAATCTGTTTAGTAAAGACAATTTTGCTCATACAAAACAACAGTTTACAACAGTCTGAGTGCTGGACACACCACGGACAAGGCAGGTGCTGTGGGCACCCAGGGCCCTGTCCCCGGGCCCAGAGAGGCCCCAGGTACCCCTCCACCACCCCTGAGGAGCCACCCCCTTTCCCCCCAGAGAGGAGGGCAAATGTGGGACCCCACAGAGGACTCCACTCTGCTCCTCCCCTCCCTCGCAGGCTGTGGGACACAGGAGAGGCCTGTGGGCAGGGACAGAGTCGGGACATCTTTGGTGCGAAGACTACCCCCCATCCATTAGGCCACGCTATGAGAAGGCAGAGGGCTACAGAGCGGTCTGCCCTCAGCTGCTGCGGCCACAGCCAGGAGAGCAGCACGGATGCAGAGGCTGTGCAGCCGGGGCCACCCAGGCTCCCCAGCACGGGCTGCAGCGCCCACTGAGAAATGGCTAAAACCCAAGGGGTCAACAAGCACGGGTGATCACGGCAAGAAGGGGAAGTCCAGAGGCTCTTCGAAGGTCAGCGCCACCGCAGACAAGGACAGCACTGCTCAGGGAAGGGGTCCCGAGGGGTCCAGTCTTTCAGGTCGCGGCGCCAGTGCCCAGTCACTCCCCTCGCCCCGGAACCCAGCGGCCAGGCAGCCCGCAGCCAGCCTGGCTCCAGATCCGGACAAGCATCCCAGGCACTTAGGCGGGCTCAGTACGGGCAGGAGGGAGAGGCGTGGAGCCCCACAGGCCCTGGGCACAGGTCTGGGCACACACGTGTACACACGCACACACTCACTCCTCTCTGGAGGGCGCGCCCCCACCCAGAAGGCCTGGAGCTCCCAGAGGGCCTGAGCTGGGCTTGGGCTATAGTGGGAAACAGGGAGGCAGGTGGACACAGGGACGCTCCTACAGCAGCTTCCACACACACCCTTGGGTCCCCCCGCCAGACCTATGCAGTACCAGAGGGAAAGGGGTCCAGTGGAGAGGAGAGGAGCGGGGCAAAGGAAAATAAAAGATTTTGTAAAAACTCTAAGTCAAATTACTGATAAAATTGCAAAATGAGCACAGGTTCGAGAGCACCTTGCTCCCGTCTCCCCAGCCTCCCAGCCCCTTCCTCTCCAGGGCGGCCAGAACCAAAGGCAGAATTCAGCCACCAGTTCCAGGCTCCACGCAGCTCAGGAGGAGAGGAGGCGGAAGTGGACAGTCTGTATCTCTTCATTTAAAAAATATATTCACTTCGAGTTATTGCTTGTCCTCCAGGGGGGCCCAGGGGCTCAGTGGGCAAGGGCCGCAGCCTCCAGGGCCCGAGCTTTCTTCCGCCTCTTCAGAAGCAGAGGGTTGGATGCGTCTTCGATCTTCTTTATCTTGATCTGCTCGTAGTCGACGCGCATGGTGGCCAAGGCACTGGTCATCTCCTCCTGGGAGCGGGGACGGCAGCAGCAGGAGTGAGGCACAAAGCAAAAGCGAGGCGGAGCGCAGGCGAGACAAGGCAGGGGCAGGCGGTGCGCAGGCAGGGGAAGTGTGAGGAAAGAAGAGGGCGGGCAGTTAGGACGTCCAGCCGGAGACTGTGGAGTCACAGGGTGGGGCCAGCAGAGACCTCCCATGTCCCTGCAGGCAAGGACAGAGCCTGGCCTGTAGTCACAAGCTCTCGCTGGTCCCAGATGGTCACCAGCTGTGTGACCTAAAATGGGTGACTCTCCCTCTCTGGGCTTCGGTCTCTGTGCACAACAGGAGACTGCACCTGAGGCCTCCAGTCCCCTTTTAGACCTAAGCAGTCAGGACTCAAGAAACAGCCACTGCGACGTCCCACAGGAACACAGCCCCACTGCCTAGCCCCAGGCCAGGGAAGGGCTCCCTGTTCTTCTGCCAGAGAGAACCAGAACCACTCTCCTCCCTGCCAGCGCCACCCATCCTGGCACAGCGCGCCCACCCCGAGCCGCCCCCCCAGCCTCCCAGCGGTGCCTCTCACCTTGACATCTTCCCACCGCTCCTTGTCTTCTTTCAAGACCCGGCTGGTGTGCAGTGGGGTCTGGGGGACCTTCGTGGATTGCTGGAGAAAGAGACAAGGGTTCCAGTGAGAGTCGGGACAAAGCCGCAGCCTGAGGGGTCCTCGCAGACCCAGAGTCCCTGCACCTGGCACACCGGGCTCACCATGATCCAGGGGTGGTTCATGAACTCCGTGATGGACATTCTTTGAGTGGGCTCCGTTTTCAGCAGGTTCCGGATAAGCATTTTCACTGTCGGGTGGCAGAGAGAACAGGGACAGCTCAGGGCCCCTTCCTGCCACACTTTCCAGGGGACACCAGCTAGGGAGGGCTACACACAAAGGCACACTGCAGCTGTCCCAAGGACCAGTGTGCTCCGCCACTCTCTGGCCCCACGGCTCACCACTGGGCCTCGTCTTGGGGCTCCACACAGGCAGGGCCCACGCAGCGGCATGAGACGGGTGCCACACGGACGTGAGCATCCCCACACGCACACACACACGCACATGCACACACACAGGGCATCGTCCTTCGTCCCGAAGGCTGGCTCTTACCTTCCTCTGATACTTCTGACCACTCTGGGTTGGGAAACTCATATTGGCCCATTCGGATGCGGGTCTTCATGCCCGGAGAGATGGCGAGGCCATGGTTGGAATAAAAGGGGGGATAGCCACACAGCCTACACCAGGAAGAGGCAAGGAGAGAGGGACAGAGCAGGTGTTACTTAGGGGGCCTGTACCAGGGACAGGATGAGAAACAGGTTCTGTTCCTTCTAAAGGTCACGAAGAAATAGGGGCTCACTCTATGGGTGCAAACACAAAGTCAGCAACAGGGCCAGGGGAGTCCTGACCCCTTTCTAACCCATTAGTTTCCAGCCACCACTTGGAAGTCAGAACCCATGAAACATGGAGAGAAGGGGGCACGCAGGGGACTGCCAGGGACTCCCCCCTCCAAAAGGGGACGTAACAGTTGCCTCTTCCTCTTGTCCTGCAGAGGCTCAGGCCTCACCGAGTCCCTGCCCCAGCGCAGCCCGGCCGGCCCTGCCCAGCACTCACAGGATGTACATGATGACGCCCAGCGACCACATGTCACAGGACTTGTCATACTTCTCTGGACCCAGCACTTCCGGAGCTGCAAACCAAGGATCACCATGGGCGGGCCGGGACCTACCCAGTTTCTCCGTGATGCTCCCTATCCCAACCCTTTGCCCCACCATGGTGGAGAGCAGCTGGGGTGGGGAAAGAGAGCAGGGCCCCTTAGGACCAACCCTGAAGGGAGAATCTGAAGATGAAACCCCTTCCCAGCCACCAGACTCTCTACCTCACTGTCTGTTCGTCCCGTCTCATCTCATCTCATCTTGTACACACACTTTGGAAGCAGCTTCTGTGCCCAAAGCCAGACCTATGCAGAGCGTGATGGGGCTGTGGCTCTTCTCAGGAAGACGGGGCAGGCAGACAGCCCTGCCAGTCTTAAGCAGACGATGCCTACAGTCCTCACTCCTGGCCTGACAGCCCTGCACATAACAGTGACCCACTGGCACCACGGAGGGCTACCAGAACACCACTCCCCTGGGATCGGTGGCTCCTGGGGTCTGGAGGACAGGGCTGAGAAAAGTTCTGGGGAGAATCTGCTCCCTAGGCTTCTCTGGACTTACCCACATAGTATGGTGTGTAGCAAGGAGTGGTCAGAGAGTTGTGACTGGTGGTTTCCTTGGCAAAGCCAAAATCAGTGAGTTTCAGAATAGCGTTGGGCCTTTTGGAGGTGTATAAGAGATTCTCCGGCTAGAGAGAGAGATGGATCGGTAATAACCCTGGGCCAAAAGGGGCCATCACCCAACACTCCATGTCTAGCGCCCAGTGCTGCACATCACAGGAGCACAGCTCCACAAAGCGAGTCCCTGCCTCTCCAGAGCTGACAGGCACCGGGGTATGTGGCTGAGGTGAGCACAGGGGCAGAAGAGCCCAGGGTGCTGGTGGGGTGCTCATGGGGAGAACCACAGCCTGGGGGTGGCCAGAGGGCAGTGCTGCCGTTTGTGGTTTGACCATGGCAGAGAGAGCGGGCCCAGCAAGCTGAGAATGGCAAGCTGCCCTCTTTTGCCCTCCGGACTTGGGCTGGCTCTCGGGAGTCCCCTCGAGCCACTGACTCTCTACCCTGCAGCCTCCCAGCACCCGGGCGCAGCTGGCACCTTGACGTCCCGGTGGGCGATGTCGATTGAGTGCAAATACTGGATGGCCTCGCCGATGCTCTTCATGATTTCCGATGCTTCTGTGGAGGAGGGAAGGAGGGAGCGGAAGCCTTAGTCCCTGGGTTTGCAAACCTGTACCTTAGTCCCACCCCATACAGCCTGAGGCCCCCATACCATCACCGACTCCAGGAACAAGAAGCCAGGAGCTGCCCTGACCAGCTGAGGGACCCACCCCGGCAGGCGGCAAGTGGAGGGGGCAGCAGCGCCCCAGCCCGCCCAGTGCAGGCCCTCCTACCTCTTTCTGTGAATGCCTGGTCTCCTCGGTCCTGGATTCGGCTGAAGAGCTCTCCACCATCCAAACTGAAGGGGAGCCGCCGTGTAAGCCAGGGACACAAAGGCCACCCCCTACCCCCCAGAGGGTCAAGCATTCATGCTTCAAGCCCCAGGGCCCACACTGGGTGTCCTGAGTGGAGGGGCTCTGCGGCAGGGTGGGGACAGGCTGGGCCAGACGCGGCAGGCTGCTCACCACTCCATGACAATCAGCAGGCACTTCCTCCCCGCATACAGGTTCTCGTAGACATCTACTATGCGCACGATGTGGGGGCACTGAGAGGCCCGCCAGTGCAGCTCCACCTCCCTGCGGGCCTTCGGGCAGTCCTGTAGCATCTGCAAGCCAAGCCGCCCCTGAGCACTGCTGGTCTCCACACGCCAGCCCCGCTTCCCCTGGCCTCAGCAGCTTCCCTCGCCTCTCCCAGGTCCAGAGAGGACTTTGCAGCAAAGCTGTCTGTCCCACAGAAATCCTCAATACAGCTCCTCAACATGACCCTGCAGGGCCGTGACAGCGAGGCAGAGATCAGCCCAGAAGGCACAGGCAGCCAGTGCAGGGCACAGGGAGTAAGGGATGTGGGGGAGAAACAGGCTGAGAAGAACCAAGACAGTAATGAAGAGGGACCTGGTGAGGGGAGACTCGGCAGGAAAGGCAGAGGCACCTCCACATTCCACACCCACAGCAAGCCTTCTTCCTGCCTGTGGTTGGCTCAGAGCAACAGACGGCCCCCGAGTCAGCCAGGTGTGGGTCTCAAGCACAGTTCCTACCTCATCTGAGACCTTGAGCGAGTCACAGGCCTCCTCTGGGTCCCCCGTTCTTCCCTAAGCAGCCAGGCAGGGCACTGGAGGCAGCCGGGCCGTCACCAGCCTCCGGGGCTGAATCATTGCCAGTGTACGCCAGGCTCATTCATTTAGGGCTTCAAAGTGACTGGCTTAGGAACAAACCTAAGAACCAACTGTCCCACAAGAGCTGTGTGGGAAATCTATGGGGAGGCCACTACCACACAGGACAAGGGACCGACATCTTCCCTCCTGACAGCGGTGCACGGAACCATCCAATCACGGAAGCTCTGAGGGAGCCGCCAGTCACTGCTGAGGGCACAAATCAACGGCACGCTCTTGCTGTCATGGCCAAGAATCCCTCGTGACCTCTCTGCGGTACAATGAACTTCCCTGACTGCTTAAACTGACCTTGACACGACACTCCCAAGCATCTTAGTGCACCTCTCCTTTGTAAAATGGGTAGCAGCTTCTCCACAAATACGAAATCCTCCTGCATAGACTAGCAGAGGGCAGCCATGCGCTCAGTAACAATAGCTGTCATTTCAACTACAGTGCCTGCCAAGCCCTGCGAAGATGCCAAATAATCAATCAGGACAAGGGCCCACAGATACGGCCGTGGGTAGTCAAGGGCAGCCTTGAACCCGCTTGGGGTATTTCACAGCCTGGGGTGGGGGTGAGTCAGGCAGGGGAGCAAATGGACAGGCGGGAGGGGAAGTGGCGAGAACCAGGCAATGAGTAACTGCCAGAGAGCAGCGCCGGGACGGGTGAGCGGTGATGCCGCGGGGGAGCCCGGAGGCTGCTGGCAAGTGCACAGAGCCCGTGAGGAAGAGCAGACGCCGCGGTGCCGCCAGACCACAGAGGGCAGTGAAAGGCGAACAGGAATTCTCAGCAACAAAACTAGCAGCATCTACGAAACAGTCTGCCATGTGCGGGCCTTTTCTGACTGTATGGCAATCACCACTTTTACAGGATCAGAACACCGAGGCTCAGAGAAGCAGCCGCCCAAGGCTACATTTCCGGGACAAGACCGCACCAGCACTGGCATCGGGCCTGAAAACTTCCAAGCCGTTTCACTGTAACCACCAGCTCTGAAGAGGCAGCGAGCGGGTGAGGCTGCTCAGTGACTGCAGCGGCAGTGCCCCCAACCGGTGTGCAGGAAAAACCCACAACTAGACTGGTCAGCTTCTCCACACCAAGAGCTGCGGGAGGCCATGTCCCCACGGAGTCACACAGCCGCCTCGTTCGTGGCCAAGAGTCCTGCGTTCTGCCACGTTCCCCTTTGTTCACCTGGACAGAGCAGGAAAAGATGTATTTTGCTCTCCTGTGCTCTGGGAGCAGGACGAGGCACGGCCAACTTCACGTGTACGTAATTCCATTCCACAGGCATGTGCTGTGCTCCCGGCACAGGCCACGCACAGTGCTGAAAGTCAGCACCTACCACCAGAGTCCTCATCTCAAAGCTCAGGCTCACGAGGAGGGAGAAGAGAGGTAGGGTAGGAGGCCCCAAAAGCCCAACCCTCCCTGAGGGGCTGCACACAGACCCGCCACACATCCACAAGAGGGCAGGGACAGGGAGGTGCCAAACAGCTCCCAGGCCGCTGGCATCTTCCACAGCTGGACGCACAGTATGGCTCCCCATGAGAATGCTGCCACTCACACACGCGGCTTGGGTGAGGGTAGAAGAAAGCTGGAGGTTAACGGTACAGAGCATGTGTTGAGAGAGACCAACTCCCAGGCACTGGGGGCTCTGGCTTGGGATCCAGGAAAACAAATGATGGGATCAAACACGACCCAAGCATTGGCACCCACTGTGGGGTGCAGGCGCCGTACTGCAGACAAGCGCAGGAGCAGCAGCCTGGAACGGGCAGGCACTCAGCAAGGGGGACCGCGGGCACTCCCAGCAGTGTGACACAACCATTCTTCCTGGCCAATACAAAATCCCCAGCGAGCTGAGCATGGTGGCACACACTGTAATCTCAGCACTCTGGACGACTGAGGCAGGAGGACCACAGGATAGAGCCTAGCCAGGGCAACTTAGCCAGACTCTGTGCCAAAACAAAAATTTAAAATGCCGGGGATGTAGCTCAGTGTGAAGCCCAGGTTGAGTCCCCATTACTAATAATTTTTTTAAGTTTTCAAGTAAAATCTTAAAAAAAAAAAAAAAAAAAAAAAAA